ATATGTTCCAGTGTCTCCTAGTTTATAATGTATGAGAACTTGAATAAAATTTGTATCCTATCATTGCATGAAAATCATATAAATCTTAATTATGTTGAATTGGTTCATAGTACTTTTCAGGTCTACTATATCCTTTGTCTTCTCTGTATATTCATTCTATTAATTTTTGAGAGTTTGATATTGAAGCTCAAACCAAAAAATTAATTTATCTATTTAAAAAATAACTGTAATATAAATAGAACTACATGTAACCTTGTTATGTATTTTCCAACTCTCCTGTAAATGTGTTATCATATTTTCATAATTTAAAAAATAAAAAATAAATAGATCTAAAAAAAATAAATGCTTCTCTGGCCTTCTTCATAATAGCTTTGAACTGGAAACAACTCTAATGTTCATCAATAAGGGAATGGATAATCAAATTGTAAAATCATGTGATAAAATACTACTAGCAATAAGAAAGACTAACCCACTGACATATGCAACATCATGGAAATATCTCAAAAGCATATTAATTGAAATAAGCCAACACTAAAGAATACATAAAGCATGATCAAAAAAACAAAAACATAAAGTATGATCCCTTCTTGATGAAGCCTGAGAATAGACAAAACCAATCTGTAATGATAATAATCAGAAAGTGATTTCTGGGAATGAGGGAAATTGATTAGAATGGAGCACAGATGGGACTTCCCTGGTGGTCCAGTGTTTAAGAATCCACCTGCCAATACTGGCGACACAGGTTCAGTCCCTGGTCTCCTGGTCCAGGAGCTAAAATCCCACATGCCCAGGGGCAAACCCATGTACCACAACTACTGAGTCCCCAACCCTAACTAATGACTGAAGTCCAAGTGCCCTAGAGCCCATGCTCTGCAACAAGAGAAAACACCACATTGAGAAGCCCAAGCATCTCAACTAAAGAACAGCTCCTGATCACCACAACTAGAGAAAGCCCAAGTGCAGCAACAGTGTAGCCCCTCCACCGCCACAAAAAAAGGACCACAGTTTGAAGAAACTTTCTTTGGTTAACAATGAAAATGTTGTATTTCTCAGTTTGGGTGGTGGTTATGTGGGTGTATGGGCTTCCCTGGTGGCTGGTGGCTCAGATGGAAAAGAATCTGCCTGCAATGCAGGAGACACCGGTTTGATCCCTGGGTTGGGAAGAGTCCCTGGAGAAGGAAATGGCAACCCACTCATTATTCTTGCCTGGAAAATTCCATTAACAGAGGAGCCTGGCAGGTTATAGTCCGCAGGGTCACAAAGAGTTGGACATGACTGAGCAACTAACACAGTATGTGGGTATATACAAATGTCAAAATTCATTGAAATGAACATGTAATATCTGTGCATTCTATTGTATGTTAATGATAACACAATAAAAATTAATAGGATGAATTCTGCTTAGTCATAAAAAAATGCTGGTATGAACTTCCTTATACTTGGTTTTTGGAACACATATGGATGCACACCTGTTGAGTATATAGTTAGTAGAATTACTGGGTCATAGAATATGCATGAATCATGGCTCTGCAATTTAATAGCTGCATGATGGTGGGCAAGCATCCAGACCTCTAGAGACCACCAGTTTCTTCATCTGTTACCAAGGAGCTAATCTCACCTTGATGGGTTCAAACCAAGAAAAAATGTTTTTGTCAATTAGCAAAAAAGACATAATGCTGAGAAATCTCATTTTCTAAAAGCAGTGCTTTTTCAGAAAATTTGCTATTTGAAATATCAATAAGACCGGATTATTCCACCCTTGCCTGGAGCATCTGAGTGACTTTGACACAGAGAAGCAGCCTCAATTTCCAACCCAGGTGCAGAGCTTCAGATAAGGGGTTTCTAGATACTGCATTCCACATTTATCTTCACGATGTTAGTTTCCAAGGAAACAGGATTCTGAGTCCTCTTGTTAGCTCAGGCCCGATGATAATCCCTTTACACATAGCCTGGTATGTTTTGAGGCTATCAAAAACACTGCTTCTTTTAAATTTTACCTACAGTCCATTCTTCAAAATTCTAGAATAATTCTCTCTCCCTGTGCTTGGTGAGACACCCCACAATTCCTCTAGTTTGTAGTCCCTTTTGCAGCATTAAGTTAATAAATCTGTCAGACCATAGGTGGTCTCTGTCACATGGGTTTCATCTTAGGAATTACCAATAACTTTGTAAAATGTGTTCAAATTGCCTTAATAGGCATTTAAGAAATTATTATTTATTATTCATGTATAAATTCAATATATACTCATTTGACATCTAGTATTTGCAAGGCACAAAAGCATTTCTACAAGTGACAGCACAAGATAGCCATGGCACAGATGGAAAACCACTTTTTAATTTAGTTGGAGAAAAACCAACAATAACAACCACCACTTCAAACCAGGATGAAAATCTTTACTGAACTTCACTTCATTAAACAGTCAAATGTAAATGAAAACATTCCCAAGACTATTTTCTAGGTAAAAAGTACAATGTACATGATTTACTATGGTGGTGTTTCAGTTGCTAAGTCATGTACAATTCTTGTCATGGACTGTAGCCAGCCAGGCTCCTCTGTCTTCGGAATCTCCCAGACAAGAATACTGATTTACTCTACTATGTGTTCTGTGTGTTAAGTCGCTTCAGTCATGTCCAACTTTTTGTGACCCTATGGACTGTAGCTTGCCAGGCTCCTCTGTCCATGGGATTCACCAGGCAAGAATACTGGAGTGGCTTGCCATGCCGTCCTCCAGGGGATCTTCCCCACCCAGGGATCGAACTGGCATCTCTTAGGTTTCCTGCATTGGCAGGGGGGTTCTTTACCACCAGTGCCACCTGGGAAGCCCATACAATACTACCGTTGTTGTTTAGGTGCTAAGTTGTGTCCAACTCTGTGATCCCACGGACTGCAGCATACTAGGCTTCCCTGTCCTTCACTATCTCCTGGAGTTTGCTCAAACTCATGTTTATTGAGTAGGTGATGCCATCCAACCATCTCATCCTCTGTCACCCGCTTCCTCTTGCCCTCAGTCTTTCCCAGCATCAGGGTCTTTTCCAATGAGTTGGCTCTTCACGTCAGGTGGCCAAAGTATTAGAGCCTCAGCTTCAGCATCAGTCCTTCCAGTGAATATTCAGGGTTGATTTCCTTTAGGAGTGACTGGTTTGACCTCCTTGCTGTCCAAGGGACTTTAAAGAGTCTTCTCCAGAAGTGAGGGGAAACTGGCAATGTTTGTTTTCCGTTTTCTCCACCCCACTTCACTCCAGTCTGCTTTGCAATCTCTGGGGAATGACCAAAAGAGGAAGCTGCTTGCCTCTGTGGGAGGGGGCCCTTAATGGGCGAATGAGCCTGCATTCAGCCTTAGAGCTTTTATAAGCAAATCTGTCTCTATTTTTTGTTGGAGCATTTATAAGAGCATTTTTTTTTTTTTCTTTAGAGAAGGACAGATGACATTTGGGGGTTCTCATTCTGGTTTTTAAAACCATTTTTTTTTTTTTTTTTAGAATCCTTAGTTTTATATGTTTGCCCTCACTTCTGTCTATCTTGATCTCCTCCCAAAGCAAAATCTACCCTTGTCTTTCCATTTACCATAAGCTCACAAAATGCAGTCTTCTGTGGAAACACTGAGGTCATACATTACAAGTTACTTAAGGGAATGATTTTAAAAATTTGAGAATCTAGTTCTCCAAGAAATCCAAGTTTGGGATATAGATGAAGAAGCTATTTGGAGGGTATTTAGATAGAGAACAAATTTGGTAATATGAGAATGCATTTTAAGGACATAGCAAGATGACAATACGATTAGCTCAGTGCTTGGGTTTTGCAATCAAATCTCAGAAAAGCAAATTACTTTCTGTGGCATTAACTTTCTCACCTGAAATAGGGAAAATGATGATGCTTGCTCTGTTGTTACTTTCATTTCAGTTCAGTTCAGTCGCTCAGTCGTGTCCGACTCTTTGCGACCCCATGAATCGCAGCACGCCAGGCCTCCCTGTCCATCACCAACTCCCTGAGTTTACTCAAACTCATGCCCATCGAGTCGGTGATGCCATCCAGCCATCTCATCCTCTCGTCCCCTTCTCCTCCTGCCCCCAATCCCTCCCAGCATCAAGGTCTTTTCCAATGAGTCAACTCTTAGCATGAGGTGGCCACAAGTATTGCTGTTACTTTACCTCAACATTTAAAAATCGATTGTCTGTTGTCTGGTCTGAAGGTAAGAATAGTTAGGACATCGTCCCTTGGCGTGAAACAGCTTATGAACAACTGAAACTGAACTGCGGGGGGGGGGGGGGGGTGTCACACCTAATACGTGCTTAAAAAATCTTTTCATTATTATTATTTTATTGTTAGGCTTCCCAGGTGGCGCACTGATCAAGTATCCGCCTGCCAATGCAGGAGACACAACAGACGCTGGTTCGATCCCTGGGTGGGGAAAAATCCCCTGGAGAAGGAAATGGCAACCCACACCAATATTTCTGCCTGGAAACTTCCATAGACAGAGGAACCTGGCGGGCTACAGCCCATAGGGTCGCAGAGAGTCGGACACGATTGAGCGACTAAGCACTCAGACTAGAAAAGGGGTGGAGGGAGAAATGAAAGTGATTTGTAAACCATATAAGTGCTTCAAAAATCCTCCCAAAGCCCTAGGGGATGAAAACAGAGTGAGGCATCTCAGAAGTTCGGTTACGGACCTGGGTTTCAAGGTTGTCGAATTCTCCATATTTGGGCCTGGATTCTCAAAATAGAACAGGATAGGATGTTAGAGCTGAGATCATCTGGTACAATTTTATGTTAATCGAAAAATTCTTGCCTTCTGTCGCCGCGCCCTGACAATAAACAACACCGCCACCCCACATTCTCCCATCCAAGTCCCAACGGCATGACGTCATCACCCCGCCTCGCAAGCTCCAGGGCGTCGCGTCTCTAAGCTACCTTTCAGCCACCGGGTCCAGCGGCGCCTGCGCAAATGCGGGGCGGGTCGAGCCGGGGCGGACGCGAGCGCGCCGCGAGGGGGCGGGGCTGGTGCGCACGCAGCTTCATCCCGTCCCCGCCCTTTCTCTTCCCGGTTTCCCTGTCAGCCTGCGGGTCGGGTCTGGCGGCTGTTTCCGGTAGGAGCGCGGTGCAGGGCGAGTCGGTGTCTGCTCCTCGTCATGTCCTACGGTCCCTTAGACATGTACCGGAACCCGGGGGCCTCTGGGCCCCCGCTCCGGGACTTCAACAGCATCATCCAGACGTGCAGCGGCAACATCCAGCGGATCAGCCAAGCCAGTGAGCCGGGGTACCGCGGCGGCTGGGGGGCGGGGGCCGTCCAGACAAGGCTGTCGGGACCGCGGAGTCCAGCCGGGGCTACGGCCAGAGCCACACCTGAGGCCGTCTCGGGCGCTCCGCTCTGGATACGGTGGGCTGCCATCCGCGAATCTGCCAGGCCCAGGCACCCTGAGGGTCCGGAGCCTCAACTGAAGCTCGAGTTTCTTCTCAGGAGTTCTGCCCTTAAGGTGTTTTGGGGCTGAGACAGTCGTCCTGACAGCCCCAGGGTGGGAGGGTGTGTTTGTCTGCTCCAGAGCAGTGAGTGAGTCGACCTGATGCAGCGGTCAGCCGAGTTTTTCCTGTCATCTGCTTCCCTCCACCCACTTCTCTTTGACCAGTTTGGATCGGGAGTTGTTTACCGGTTTAGACTTTACATCTTGCTCAGCTTCTTGAAAGTCAGCTGCTTTCAATTAAGCAGAGTGGAGAATGCATGTGTTTTGGTGCCTTTAATACGGTTCTTCCTGTAATGTTTGGAAGTCAGTTACAATGACTTGTATTCAAGGGGTGTGATGACTTCTACTTTAATAAAGAGAATTCACCAAAGACACTTCAGTTTACAGTATTTTGTCTTTTGTAGCAGAAGATTTGCGTGTTTTTGGATTTCAAGCTGATGAGTCTTTTGTTTTCCTTCCCCATCTAGTTACTCTTTTCAACAAGCATGATACACAGAGAAGCTCAGGGACATGGCCACAGTCACATAGCAAGCAAGACATGGTAGAGCTGGTGGTTGTTTTCGGAATGTATTTGCTTGTCTTAAAACTGCCTCCCCACTGTTAGGGTCTAAATGAGACTGTAGATGAATGAGTTAAATCTTGTGCCTGAAAATCAGCTCAGAGCCTTATAAACAGGAGGTCAGCAGCAGCAGCAAATACTTGGAAGGAATGGTATCATCATCCGTGTTGTTTATTATTGTGTTTTTGTGAGCTTGGCTGTACCCTGTTAATAGGTAGAACTAATTGGTCCTGAATCACAATTGTGTTCTATATTTTAAAGAAAAAAATACCACTTAGCTTTTAAATTTAATATGTAACATAGAATTTGAGAGAGGGAAAATTTCTGATGGAAATCATTTGAGTCTTGGCGCTTTGGAAGTGGAAAGAAGACTATATGATCTGTGAAATCTAGAAATTTGAAACAAACCTTTATATGACCGCTGGTGGGACTTTCCTGGTGGTCCAGGCAAGTTAAGACTCCATGCTTCCACTGCATGGGACACGGGTTCAATCCTGGTTGGGGAACCAAGATCCCACATGCTGCATGATGCAGCCAAAAAATAAAAATATTTTTAAAATATATGACCACTAGTTAGGAAGTATAGTACTTTGTGCTCCAGTTTCCTTTTGTGAGGTAAATGTAATACAGGCTAGATCAGAAAATTCTGATTCAAAGCCAAAGATTTATTGTTGAGACCAAATCTAATTTTTATGTCTATTTGTGAAATGTTCATTCTGTATGCATTTATTTGAGTATCATGCATGTAGTGTGTGTAAGAACTGGAAGGGAGCCTGTGGCCTACGTAGCAACTGAAAGGGTTTGATGCTATAGAAGAGATAAAATAAAATTATAGGTATTCAGGAGAGACATCTTTTTCATTTGGGAGGGACCAGGGAAGGCATTATGGCATTTGAGTTAGGTCTGGCTGGAAAGATGGTGGAACGGATTTGAACTTTTTACAATAAATAAGAGAAGGGCATTTTAAGGAGGGAATTAAATGAACAAGGGGGAAAGCATGTGCTGTGTATAGAAAAGTAGAGTGGTTTAATTTGGCTAACGTGGTGGATTCTAGAACGTAGTGCAAAGTAGGCTTGGAAAGGTTAAGTTGGGACTCAGATATGAAGGGCCTTAAGTACTAACCTAATGGATTTGGATTTAATTCTGTAGAAATGTGTAAATCGAGTTGGAAGGGAGAGGCTGGAATCAGAGACACCAGTTAGGGACTGAAAATGAAAAGAAAGGATAGGAGAGGTGTCTTTGGCAATAGAATTCATAAGATTTAGCTCTTGGTTAGGCATCAGGGTCAAGTAATAGTTGGATTCAGCCATTAATAGCATTAATAGCTAACATTTTTGGTGCATACTGTGTGCGAGGCGATGTAAGTGCTTTACAGGCATCATCTAACTTGATTTTGTAACAACCCTGTGAAGTAATTACCAGTATTATTTCTTTTTATGGGTTAGGAAACAGGCTAAGAAATTTGAAACGATATCTGTCTCTTATGACCAACATTTAGCCTTTTTATAGTTTTTAATTAATATTACAGTTTTGTAGCAGTTAACACTTCAGCAGGTTAGAAGTGATTTTTTTTTTTTACTCTTCATAAGATGCTATGGGGAATACCTGAGCTGTGGAGCTTTCTCCTCTTGTGGTTTGTCTACCTCTCCTACTAGATTGTTAGTTCCTTTAAAGAAATGAGACCTGACTTATTTATCTTTATATTTCTAGTACTTACCTCAGATCTATCCGTATGATAGATTCACTCATTCGCTGTTCAATAAATATTCTTTGAGGACCTGCTATTAACTGGGGATGGAGTGATGAGCAAGATAGACAAAACCATGTCCTAATAGTGTGTGTGTATATATATGTGTATGAATGTGTGTATATACATACATATGCATACACACACATATATAACTAACATGGAGAAATAATAAGTGCTAGGAAGAAAAAATAAAGCAGGATAAGGAGACACAAAGTAACCAGAGGAAGAAGCGCTATTTATCTTACACCAGATGGTCAAGGAGGGCCTCTCTGAGTAGACATCTGAATGAAGTGAGGGAGAGAGCCATGTGAGTAACTGAGGGAAGGCATTCTAGGCAGAGGAAATTGCAAGAGCAAAGACCTCAGTGCCTTCAAGAATGGCAGGGAGACTAATGTGTCTGGACTGCAGTTAGAGAAGGAAGCGAAGTAGGAAAAGAGGCTGTGGAGATAGCCAGGGCTCATATTATTTAGGGTTTTGATGCTCAGTAAATTGTATTTAGTAGATTTGAATGCATGAGATTTTTCCACCATTTTGGAACTCTTCCTGCCTCATTTACCTTGTGCTATGTGGTTCCTACCACATATTATGACCCTTGGCAGTGTGAGTTGAAATTTTCCCTTTGGGATTGTTTAGTGAGGCTCTGGGAATGGGAAATTGGTAGGGTGACATTGCCTCTACCCAGTTATGAGACTGGTACCCATCCCCCAAACTTGGCCAGTGTACCTAAGTATACAGTCTAGATGTGACATTCCCCCCTCCCCCCCGCCCCAGACATATGCCCACATCCATATAGTCCTGCAAGGACCTGTACTTATTGAAAATATGAGAGAATAGCTTATTCTTTTTTCTCAAGTTTTTAGCTGCATTTGTGGGTTTGGAATTGCTGAGCCTGTCAGGCTGAAATATGGCAGGCCACTGTGTGGGTTGTTATAGGTACAGCTAAGGTTGACTGCCTGGCACAAACGGTTGTTATCAGTATGTGTGGGCAACAGAAGAAAAATGCTTGACTCCGCCTGTTGTGAAACGAAGGGTCTAGGCAGATAGAGGGAAATAACCTAACAGGCTCCAAGTTATCTCTGAAGAGATGAAAGAACAGCATGTCTGTTCTTTAATGTTGCTAATTTTGATATGATTTTGTTTACTAAAAAATTAAAAGCAGCTAAACTTTTGAAATTGACTGTTGTGTGAAATCCTGTGGGCTGTTCTTTCAAAATTGTTTCCCTATTGTCCCTTTGCTGTTTATTTCATTGCCCCCTTTGTGAAGTCTTCATGATCTCAACATCTGTATCCAGCAGCACAGTCTAGTGTTTCTGTTCCCTTTCTAATTCATTCAATAATGCTATCAGCAGTGTGCCTAAAATCCCTCTTACCTCCTCAAGAGCCTACAGTGGCTGGCTGTTGTCTGCTGCATCAGGTTTTAGCATTCCACTTTGCTTCCATTGTCTTTGTCATCTTAATCCAGATTAGCCATGTTTTCTCCTACTGTCAGCCTTTGCTCCAGGCAGGCTATTTTTCTTAACATCCTTCAACACTGGTTTTTGCAGCAAGTTTTTGCTCATTCTATTCCTCCTTTCTTCAATCGTTTCCTACCTTGCAAGCCACCTAAATTATACAAATCCTTTGAGTTGTGCTTAAATCCTGCCCCTTGAAATTAAACTTTCCCTTGCTTTTCCAAAGAATGAAGTCAACAGGAGCCTGGGAGTTAGGCTCAGCGGATCTGTGACAGAGTTCCTGCTCCTCTGTGTTGTACCATTAGCCTGGAGCAGTTCCCCTTTCTGCCTGTTACCCCATCAGTAAAATGAATGCTATTGGTAAAATGGGATATTTGAAAGTGCCTAGTATAGTGCCCGGCCTATAGTAGACATTCCATAAATGGTAATATTAATGGTTGAGTCCCCTGCTCCACTATAGTTTAGTAGTTAAGTGAGCGGGCTCAGGAGTCAGACTGTCTGGGTTTGAGTCCTAGTTCTGCTTCTAACTCGCTATGTAAACATATTGCTGTACTTCTCTGTTTCAGTTTCCTCATCTATAAGATGGAGTTAATAACAGTCTTTACTTCATAGGATCCTGAGAATTAAATGAGGAAATTTATGTAAAGTGCTTGAAGCAGGCCTGCAACATTGTTTAAGAAATATTAACTGTCATTTTGTTTTCCTTTTTGAATTCACAAGCTTAGCACTTACTTTATTCTGTATTCTGTAATTAATTCATGTTTTTTGACCTTGTTATTCCAACTGAGAGATCACTGTTAGTTTTGTGGGGCTAGCGACCATGCATTGTACAGCTCTCTTTAGCTACGGGGCCTGGCACCGCAGTGGATATGTATTAATAGTTGTCATTCAATATGTACTTAATTGATTTTTATCATCGCTAAGTACATTTTTCTTGGTCTCGAGTTTGATAATAATAGCTATGCTTGATTGAGTTCTTTTAAGTGCCAGACACTGTTCTGAATTTAGCTTCATATTATCTTAAATTC